AATAAAAAGGCTTTATTATTCTAATATGAATACTGCATCAAAGAAAAAAAATAACAACATAAAAACACATCTAAAATCTAATATTTTTCTAACATGTTAACAGAGTGTATAACATTATTAATTAACGTTAAAGGGATAGTTCACCCAAAAATAAAAACATATTCACTATTTCTGTCTTCTGCTGAACACAAATTAAGATATCTTGAAGAGTGCTGAAAACCTGTAACCATTGACTTCCATTGTATTTGTTTTTTTCTACAATGGAAGTCAATGGTTACAGCTTTTCCGCATTAAGTAAAACTAGAGATGTTTGATGTTTGGGTGAACTATCCCTTTAACTGTGAGAGATGTGTAGTCATGAAGCACCTTCATCTCCTGCAGGGCCTCCTCCAGCTCCTCAGGGCTCTTGTACTCAAAGTCTCTCATCAGAAACTCCTCGTCCACTTGAATCATCCACTCCCGCATCTCCGCCACGTCCTTCTTCAGATTCGACACTTTCTCCTGTCCTTCACTCACACACTCGTCTCGCCTCAACAGCTGAAAAACACACCCAAACACACATTCATACTGACGTCCACTAAAAATCAGTGGAATATTGTGTGGCTGATCTTCATTGCTCTTGAATCCAGCAGTAAGAGCAGAGTGTGAAGGTTTAATTAGCAGAGCAACAGCACAGTTTTGCTTGAAATATTGCAACGCACACAACATTATGGGTGGCATATCAGGACATATTGTTGGTGCACATTTCGCTGGCACATCCAGAGACATTATCACAGCCATATCACCCTGCAGCCTAAGACCGGTTACTCACTGAAGCTAAGCAGGGCTGAGCCTGGTCAGTACCTGGATGGGAGACCACTAAGGAACACTAGGTTGCTGTTGGAAGTGGTGTTAGTGAGGCCAGCAGGGGGCGCTCAACCTGTGGTCTGTGTGAGTCCTAATGCCCCAGTATAGTGAAGGGGACACTACACTGTCAGTGTGCGCCGTCTTTCGGATGAGACGTTAAACAGAGGTCCTGACTCTCTGTGGTCATTAATAATCCCATGGCACTTCTCGTGAAAGAGCAGGGGTGTAACCCCGGTGTCCTGGCCAAAGTCCCTCTATCGGCCCTTACGATCATGACCTCCCAATCATCCCCTTCCACCGAATTGTCTCTATCACTGTCTCTCCACTCCACCAATAGCTGGTGTGTGGTGAAGCACTGAGGCCGTTGTCCTGTGGCTGCCGTCGCATCATCCAAGTGGAGCTGCACACTGGTGGTAGTGTGGAGAGACCCCCCCCTCATGATTGTGAAGCGCTTTGGGTGTATGGCCATACACAATAAATGCGCTATATAAACACACATTACATTACGTTAAACAATGTTTGTTGTATTGTCTGCAATGAAATAAAAGTCACAGTAAGTTTAGAAACCCGTTTCTTCTTTTATTAGCATTTTCTATACCGTCCAAACTTGCCGTGTGTTTGAGGCCTACTGTAAATGTGTTTTTCACCTGTTTGCTGAGCAAGTCCCAGCGTCTCTGGCTGTCTTCAAGCTCTTTCTGCCCCCAAACAACCAATCCTGGCACTGAACTCTGCTGAACGGCCGTCACGTTTTCCTTCATCTGCTTCAGACATGAGTCCACGCTCTCCATCTCCGCCAACAACTCCTGAACACACATTTACACAAACTCAGTTACCTCAAACAACCCCTGATTTCCATGCAAACTGTTAACCTGGCAATGCAAGTAAGCTAAATGGACACTTGACTTTATTATAAACCAGGCCTGGCTTTCTCGAAGCCTTCTGAAGGCTGCATCATTCTTAAGTTGTACCTTAAAGGTCTCGTGAAGTGCTTTGAAATGTGCATTTCTTTATTGGATGCTTGACATAATCTCAGTTGAAACATGAAGAGAGGGCGGAGCATAGAGTAGCTCCTCCCCTTTAAAAAAAAACAGACTGTGAAACTGGTGTAGTGTCTGACCTTGCACTGTTTGAACTCCTCCTGTAGTTTATCAGTGTTTCTGAAGCTGCCGGCGTCTCGAGACAGAAGCTCCTCCACGGCATTGAGCCATCGCTGCACCTCTGCACTCTTCACCTGCACCACACACACAAACATCCATCACAATCACACACTCAATATACTTATCATATCAATTCATCATCATCATATTCATCCGCTTATCCGGGGCCGGGTCACGGGGGCAGCAGTCTAAGGAGAGAACCCCCAGACTTCCCTCTCCCCAGACACTTCCTCCAGCTCCTCCAGGGGGATCCCGAGGGGTTCCTAGGTCAGCCGAGAGACATAGTCCCTCCAGCGTGTCCTGGGTCTTCCCTGAGGTCTCCTCCCGGTGGGACATGCCTGTAGCACCTCCCTAGGTAGGCGTCCAGGAGGCATCCGAAACAGATGCCCGAGCAACCTCAGCTGACTTCTCGCTCCTGGGTGTCAGAGCTCCTCACCCTGTCTATAAGAGTGCGCCCTGCCACCCTGCCAAGGAAACTCATTCCGGCTGCTTGTATCCGAGATCTTGTCCTTTCAGTCCTGACCCAAAGCTCATGAGCATAGGTGAGAGTAAGAACGTAGATTGACTGATAAATTGAGAGCTTTGCCTTTCGGCTCAGCTCCTTCTTTACCACAACGGAGCGGTACATCCACCGCATTACTGCGCCCTCTGCCCCGATCCCCCTGCCAATCTCACGTCCATTAGCATATACCCCATTCAGATGTACCATGAGTCTCACCTGCGAGTCCTTCATGCTTCCCAGAATGCACTGCAGCATGCTGAGCTGATCCTGAGCAGCGGTGGAGAGATCAGTCCAACACTGCTGGTCCACCGAGTCCAGCACTGACCCCCGCTGCTGCTCCAACTCCACACTGAAGGCCTGGAGGACACACACAAACACAACCCTGTTTCAGATAGTGGCTAATTAAATAACACATGAGGTGGCACAGTGACCTCACTGCGAGAAGGTCGCTGGTTCGAGTCCCCGCTGAGTCAGTTGGCGTTTCTGTGTGGAGTTTGCATGTTCTCCCTGTGTTGGCGTGGGCTTTCCCCACAGTCCAAACCAAGTGTGCCGCAAGCCTGCGTCTGAGTGAAGGTCTCGGCCGTTAGATCGCCCCCTGGGGGCTGGCTGCAGTACAAGTCATAAAGCCCGCCTCCTCCGTGTTAATGAAGGAGACTTGAGCCCAAATAAAAAAATGATTACACTTGCAATAAAATGTCCCGAAAGATGGTTCTGGTGGATTAAGGCACTGGTTATTGTGCTGAAATAGGTGCAGATCTTCATTTTTGTAAACAGTTTGTTTTTAGCAGTAATTTAATGCTGGGCGTGTCATCGTGATTGACAGCTGTGATTGACAGTTTCTCAAAGCGCGGCGTCTGAGCTTCGGCAGGAGACTGAAGTGTTATTATTCGATTTCTGTGATATTTTACCATGACAAAATGAGTTCAGCAGTAAACTGTAGTTTCTGACATACATGATCCTGGTGGAACACTGTTTATTGGCTAAGGGCAGGGCTTTTTTCGGGCTTTATTAGTTTGCTGATACACGCCTAGCCACCCAGATGGCAAAATACACTCGGACCAGTTCGGCTAGATTCTCGCCTGCCGGAGACTTACCCCTCAGAGCTCAGACTGACTACCTCTGCTGGACCTACTCCGGATGCCTGACTCACTGCCCGATTCCAGCCCGAGTCAATCAAGCTAGATGCGGCGGACGAGCTAGCCGGGGCTGCCGCATGTGAGCCGGAATCAGCCCGCGACGCCGCGAGTAGGTTATGCGCTGCGGCCCGGAGCTGGCGCGATTGAATATATAAAACCCTCATATTTGTTAACATTATTACATCCATTTGTGTTGATATGACAGCAAACGCATGCTGAGCAGTTCGGGGGGCGTGGTTGATTTTACATAAAGCGTTTGGTTGGAAGCGACAGTTTGTGCCTGTCAAGCAGGCGTTTTGCCCTCAAGGTGTTCAATGGGAAAAGGGGCTGTTGCGTCGTCCATATTTTTTACAGTCATTGGTCCAAACACATGCGCTATAGGGGAACTGATGAACTAAATTGCTTGTTTAAATAAAAATGCTATAAAGTTTAACCCTTGTGTGCTGTTGGGTCGTTTTCATCCACTCTAGGCTGATTTAATTAGGCTTAATTTGGCCACAACTTTCTCTGTTTTTCAGCAAATGTGATGATTTTGGTGGTAAATCTTATTTTGACACATATTTTTAAAAAATGCTTTGAAAATGTTCAAAAACTCAACAATAGACTCTGGGCAAATGGACTCCCCTTTGGTTGTGTTGGGGGCTGTTTTTGTCCCATTGACTTCCATTATAATCACAATTTCTGATTGCAAAGCCATGACAGCAGATAACCATGCATTCTTCACTGTTGCTGGTTTTCCCTGTTGGGAAGAGGTAAGATTTATCATTTTACTGTTGATTATCAGTTGCAGTGCAAAAAAAAAAGCATAGTTTCTGCCTTTGAAGTTATATGGAGGACAGTGTGTGTGAGTGTGTGTGTGCTTTACTTTTGCGCAATTATCTTCATATGTCTGAGAAAATCGGAATAATCCACTCAGCAGCTCTCAGAACACAGTAAACGCAGTAAGTGTATTTCTGCACACACACACACATACACACACACACACACACACACACACACACACACACACACACACACACACACACACACAATAATCTGCTGTTTTACTCTTTGTGAAACTCTTCAGCACAGGCCTATCTAAAGGGTTAATCCTGACAACTGATGATCAACATTAAAAATTACACTTTGTACCACTTTCCAACTAAGAAAACCAGCAGCAATCAATAACGCATGATTATATGCTGTCATGGCTTTGCAATTAAAAAAATGCGATTATAATGGAAATCAATAGGGCAAAAACAGCACCAACATAAGTACACAAGGGTTAAATTAAAATTAAATTAAATTAAAGAAAAAAAATAATATTTTAAAAATAAAATAACACTATCCATAATAATACAAATATTTCAATAGAAATGTAATAAAAAATAAAGCATGTTATTAATAATAATAAAAATGTAGTTAAAGTTTAAATTAACCTGAAGAAGGAAATAAAATATTAACTTATATTTTAATGTTAGCTTTTTATTGCTAAATAAGAAGAAAAAACCCTCTTAAAGCTGTGTGTGAAGATCAACTAACACCACTTGTGTTTGTTCTGTAGTGCACACACTGACGAACTGACACCTGCATGAGTGTTGGATGGTTTTCAAGCCTTCTGTTTGATGTGTACACACATGCGTTCATTCACAGTGTCAAGAAGACATGTTATTACTCTCATGCTTACTGTAAACATTATTAAATCATGTCAAAACACACAATATTGCCAATTCATACCAACAAAAATGACATGCATTTCACTCTTATGAGAAAACCATAGTGCACTTCATCCATACTGAAGAACGATTCACTCTAATGTGATTGTTTATCAGTCAGAGATTTCCCAAATGATGTTGCACAGATTCAGGAATATTTGTTTATCTGGAGAAAGTCTTATTTGGGCTAGAATAAAAGCAGTTTTTAATAGTTTTAAAGCCCTTTTAAGGTCAATATTATTCGCCCCTTCATCAATATTTGCTTTGCATTGTCTCCAGAACAAACCACTGTTATACAATGACTTGCCTGATTACCCTAACTTTACCCTAATTAGCCTAGTGAAGCCTTTACATGTCACTTTAAACTGAATACTAGTGTCTTGAAGAATATCTAGTCTAATATTATGTGCTGTCATCATGGCATCAGTTAAATAAACTCTCATGTTTATCTTTATGTTATGTTAAAAAAAATAAAAAATAAAAAAATAAATAATAAAATTCTGATCTCCACTAAACAGAAATTGGGAAAAAATATATATACAGGAGGGCAAATAATTCTGACCTCAACTGTAGGCCTTCAGCATATCCGATTAAGTGTATTAGCAGTAGCTCAATCTGACCGCCAGGTGAAGACAAAGCGCAACAAACACACAATTAAAAAACACACCAAACAGCCACAGTCACTCCCATAAAAACCCCCACAGCCCATAATCACGTGTAGATTCGACAGACATTACAGACGCGGTCTTGAGGGCACATTTAGCTGCATCTGAAGGCCTGCAGTGCCACGTGGGCAATCACTGGAGCTCATGCCGTCTCACTCTTTGGCCAAAAGCACTGTATAAATATTGATATTCCTTTAAACAAATGCCAGCCTGCGTTTGCTCTCGGGATTGATTCTGTCTCTGGCTTTCTGCCCATCACTCACGGAGTAAAGAAAGAAACACGACCAGAAATGAAAAGCAGAGCAGAGATTGGGCACGCGGGTCAAGTGGAGACTCAAACAGAAGATAAACACATGGCACAATGGATAACTAACACAACTCGCTGATGATAAAAGTGAGGAGCGGGGTGGTGGGTGGGTTACATCGCGGATGAAAGTGCATGTTTTGGGGAAGGGGATGGGGTGGGGGGGATGTGGGATGGTTAGGGGGATGTCTGGTGGGGATATTGCCGATGAAAGTGAAGACGGGGGGGGGTGGACAGGGATGTTGGGGAGATCGCGGATGAAAGTAAAGAGAGGTGGTTGGGGGGTGGGAGTGAGGGAGGAGGGTCTGGGGGATTGGTGCGTACCCCTTGATAATGTTTCTGGGGCTCCTCTTATTGTATGTGCCCTTAGAATCATCCTAACCTCCCTCCCCCTAGTGGCCATCCGCTATTAAATGTTGGTCTAGAGCAACATCAGTGGTTAAAACTTGCCTAGAGCGCCATCTAGCAACATAATACTGCAAGTCTTCAATCTACAGTGACGAAACATGCATGTGTCAGGAATGACTAAATGTGAACACACACATACACACCTGGGCTTTATTGATGGCCTGTTCAGCTGTGGTGACGTCTCTGATTTCAGCGCCGATGCTGTTTAGTCTGGACTCCATCTGCTGCAGCGCTCTGGAGCCCACAAGCTTGGACAAAACTACACACACAGAGAGAAAGAGAGAGTTTGAAAAATGCATATTATTACAATCAAACAAACAAGTATTACAGTTATTTAAGAGAAAAACTTGCTATGAAACATTTTCACCTCAGATGCAAATGCAGATCTTGAGCTTTGTTTACTGTCAAAAAATACGGAAGCCAGTGGGTTTTGCTCACTCCACTTTGCATCGTAAAACACAGTATGATGATAAAAAGCCTTTATTTGTCACATACACTGTTACATGCAGCGAAATTGGACCCCGCCAACCATTTTTTGACAGATGGCTGTCTAAAAAGTGGAGCAGCCTTGAGCGCCATCTGCTGTTAAAACTAGCCTAGAGCGCTGTCTGCTGTTAAACACTAGCCTAGAGCACCATCTGCTGTTAAACACTAGCCTAGAGCACCATCTGCTGTTAAACACTAGCCTAGAGCGCCATCTGCTGGTAAACTCTAGCCTAGAGTACCATCTGCTGTTAAACACTAGCCTAGAGCACCATCTGCTGTTAAACACTAGCCTAGAGCGCCATCTGCTGTTAAAACTAGCCTAGAGCGCCATATGCTGGTAAACTCTAGCCTAGAGCACCATCTGCTGTTAAATACAAGCCTGGATCACTGTCTATTTAAAACTAGCCTAGAGCGCTTTGTTGTTAAAAACTAGCCTAGAGCGCCATCTGCTGCTAAAAACTAGCCTAGAGTGCCATCTGCTGCTAAAAATTAACCTAGAGCAACATCTGCTGCTAAAAATTAGCCTAGAGCGACATCTGCTTCTAAAAAAAAGCCTAGAGTGCCGTCTGTTATTCCACTAGACTAGAGCACTGTCAGCTGTTAAACACTAGCCTAGAGCACTGTCAGCTGTTAAACACTAGCCTAGAGCACTGTCAGCTGTTAAACACTAGCCTAGAGCGCCATCTGCTTTTAAACACCAGCCTAGAGCACCGTCTGCTGTTAAAACTAGCCTAGAGCGCCATCTGCTATTAAAACTAGCCTAGAGTGCCATCTGCTGTTAAAACTAGCCTAGAGCGCCGTCTGCTGTTAAAACTAGCCTAGAGCGCCATCTGCTGTTAAACACTAGCCTAGAGCGCCATCTGCTGTTAAAACTAACCTAGAGCGCCGTCTGCTGTAAAACACTAGCCTAGAGCGCCGTCTGCTGTTAAAACACTAGCCTAGAGCGACGTCTGCTGTTAAACACTAGCCTAGACCGCCGTCTGCTGTTAAAACTAGCTTAGAGAATTGTCTGCTGTTAGAACTAGCCTAGAGTGCCACTAGTGTTAAAACTTGCCAAGAGCGACATCTGCTGTTAAACACTAGCCTAGAGCGCCCCCTACTGTTAAAAACAGCCTAGAGGGCAATATCATATTTACAGGAAAATCTGCTTGGATTAATCAATCTGGTAGCAATTTCGAAGAGAAGAGATGCTCAGTCTGGCAGTAGTGTCACTTTTTTGCTAAAACTTTGGGTTACTGGAGGAATTGTTTTCACCCATACAGACTCCGCCCCAGGCCACACCCCCAGATATGACATAACAAATCACAACCATCCAATCAAGTCACAAAAAAGCCCCGCCTTCCATTTGTTATTCAGTTTTTAGCAGTTCTGCTATTTTGTCATTAACAAAATTCTGCATCAATTAATCTACGCTAATAGAATCTGTATGTATGATATCCACAACACTGCTCGACTTGTCAGCTGTACATAAACAGCAGCTGTTGACAGCACAAATGTTGTATTTACTGTACATCTGGGCTCTACTCTTTCCGTAATACATTACAATGTCTCTGTGTCACTTTAGACATTAGTGATTGATAACATATGCGAGTCGGCCCGTTCCAAGAGGTTTACTGTGTGCTGACAATGAGAGAGGAGGCAGAAATAACTGGCTGTGGCTCATTTGTGTTTGTCAATGTGTGTTTGGGAGTTTGATTCCCAGACTTTAGAGGTCATAGCATGGGGCATTAGCTTTCCCACTGTCCCATGAACAGCTCCTTAATACAGCCTTCCTTTGGGGACAAAAATAATCATATGTTTGGAGGAGTTGGAGTTGGTTGGTTCTGGTCTGCAGCCATCATAATTAGCTTTCTATAAATAGATCAGTACACTATGATAAGTTAGACTAGCAAGTAAATGTAAGAGTTATGCCGAAAAAATGTCTGCTGATAAAAGTTATCCTATAGCGTGATGTTTATAACTAGCCTTTAAGTCTAGAAAAACTAGTGTTGTTTGTGGTTAAAATCTAAGCGCTAGAGCGCCACCTGATGTTTATAACTGGCTTGCTGTTAAACACTAGCCTAGAGCGCCGTCTGCTGTTAAACACTAGCCTAGAGCATCATCTGCTGTTTAGAACTAGCCTAGAGTCTAAAAAAACTAGCCTAGAATGTCGTTTGCTGTTTATAACTAGCCTAAAGTCTAGAAAAATTACCCTAGAGTGCTGTTTGCGGTTACAAACTAGCCTAGATTACCATCTGCTGTGTAAATCTAGTCTTGCAAAACTAGCCTTGATTGCCGTAAAAAAATAGCCTAGAGCATCATCTGCTGTTTAGAACTAGCCTAGAGTCTAGAAAAACTAGTCTAGAGTGTTGTTTGCTGTTAAAAACTAGCATAGAGTGCCATCTGCTGTTACAAATTAGCTTAGAGCACCATCTGTTGTTTATAACTAGCCCAGAGTGCCGTCAAAAACTAATCTAGAGCACCGCCTGCTGCTAAAAACTAGCCTAGAGCGCCATCCACTGTTAAAACTAGTCTAGAGCGAGGTGCAATGTTAAAGCTAGCCTAGAGCAACATCTGCTGTTAAAACGAGCCTAGAGCGAAATCTGAATGAATGAATCAGTGTTTTGAACAAATCACTTGAGCCAGATGCTTATTGATCAACAATAGACAGTAACTTAATTCCTCAACACATCAATGGCTTACATTCTACAAAATACTTTAAAGCAACATCATTGCTTTAAGTGTTTAGCTTATTATTATTATTATTATTATTATCATTATTATTATTGTTATTGTTATTGTTATTATTGTTATTGTTATTATTATAGTTATTATTATTGTTATTAATTATTATTGGTAATATTGTTGTTGTTGTTGTTGTTGTTATTTATATTATTATTATTATTATTATTATTATTATTATTATTATTATTGCTGTTATTATTATTGTTATTATTATTATTATTATTATTATTGCTGTTATTATTATTGTTATTATTATTATTATTATTGCTGTTATTATTATTGTTATTATTATTATTATTATTATTATTATTATTATTATTATATTATTATTATTATTAGTAGTAGTAGTATTGTTATTATTATTATTAGTATTATTATTATTATTATTATTATTATTATTATTATTGTTGTTGTTGTTGTTGTTGTTGTTGTTGTTGGTATTAATATAATTATTATTAATATTATTGTTATTCTTATAATTATTATTATATAGTCATTGTAACTGGCTGTGAAACAGAAAAAAATTGTAGTATGTCCTTATTTCTTTGGCTCAAAAAATGTGGGTGAAAGAGATTTGCACGAACTTTAAGGTTAAACACCGATGTACTCTTACTTAGTGCGCGCACACACACACACACACACTCACACTCACACACAGTGATAGGTTTATCAGTGTGTGAAGGCTTTTTCAGGAGCCACACTGAACTCATACTAGCATTGCAACCACAAATAGACTGTAAATAGTCTCTCTCCCTCTCCAAAAATGATCCACCTGTAGCTTAATCCCCCAGTTCTGTCTTCGAGTTAAACTGAAGGGAACAGGAGAATCAGAGACTGAGAAAGTGAGGTGTGTAAGTCCACATTGGCAGAAATCCAAACTCTGAGGCTTGTAAAAATCTCAGCGGGCCTCAATCTCTCTGCAGATCCGCTCTGAAGCACAGTCAGCCGCAGCATTTCAGGTCACAGACGCAAACACAACGCCAAAAGTCAGACGTTTTTATCCAAAGTCACTTACAGAACAATGTCAACAGGGAGTCAAAGCCAGGCACTGCTAACATCATGCACAACTACTACTACAGCTCATTTTTGATTTCTGTGTTTAGGGCTAAAAAGTGTTGTTAGAAGAGAAAAAAATAGTACTTTTTTATATCAACAAGCTGTTAGCAGACTCTGCTGAAAGGCAATGTTTAGATGAGTATACAACGGGGGAAATAAGTATTGAACATGTCACCGTTTTTCTCCGAAAACATATTTCACTGTACAACAAGCTGCTGTTGACTTGAGACTTTCCCCAGATGTTGTTAACAACCAAAGAAATCCATATATGAAAAGAAAACAAATCTAACTAGATGAAGTTCTGTGTAATAAAATGAAATGACACCGGGAAAAAAGTGTTGAACACATGAGGAAAGGAAGGTGTATTTGAGCAGTGAAAGCCCAGACAGTGGCTGAAATCTGTCAGTAGTTCTTCAGCAAGCCTCTGCCCTTCCTCAGTGTAAATGAAGATCAGCTGCTTCAGTCCAACATCTACATCAGCAGGAGGATGAAGATGAAGACATTTCAGCAAGACAATGATCCAAAACACAGCCGAGGAGACTCTCAGATGCTTTCAGAGAAAGACAATCAAGCTGTAGAATGGCCCAGCCAATCACCTGATCCGAATCCAATAGAGAATACAGAATAAAGCTGAGATTTGATAGACGAGACCCACAGAAGCATCAAGATTTTGACAATCATGTGTTGTTATATTTAAATGTTTGTAATGTTAGTTTTTTTTTTTACCAAAATCTGCTTCAATTCCATGTCAGCAGCTCCTTTAGAAACAGTATTCCCAGGAAAAAACATGTCAGTGTGTTCAATACTTATTTCCCCCGCAGTATAATACTGTTTACACAACAAGGTTGTAGCCAAAAGTTGAAAACTAAAGAGGTTTCATGTGTACACAATGACGTTTTCAAAACGATCTGCATTTACACATCCTTGAAAATGACTGAAAACACCGCATTGTGTATGCCAGACCAGAATTTGGAGCTGTTAGTGTAAACAGTGCCTGTAAGGAAGTGACAACATGTCATCAGCAGCTCGACACTCCTATCTACATATAATTTTCCGTGTGTGTAAGTTGCTCCTCCGCTGTTGGTTGTAATGTGAAGTAAATCCCCACTATGGGTTAGACTAGAGCAACACAATCACACACTCCAGCATCGTTGGGTGTTGTTTGTGCTTGCCTTTAATCTACAACTTCTGAAACACAATGATGATGTCAAACACAAAGCATGACATCATTGTTTTCATGGACTCTCATTATCAGGTGTTTGCATGAACATGGCAATGGCAGCATTTTTGAAAGCAGTTTTCAGATAACCAGTTCAGAAAGGCACAACACTGTAGTAACTAACAATAAATGCCATTTCATAATGCAATGTTTAGTAGGGTTTTCAGCTTGTTACAGCACATATGTGAGCAAACTTACTTTTTTATTAATTTACCGTTTAGAATTTCCAATTGATCTGTTCTTCAGAGATGAACACTACATTGTTGATCTTTATAAAAACACGCTAATTTTAAACTATTCACGATACTGGAATTAGGTACCAATCAATACTGAAATTTTAAAGATGTCCATGTCCCGCTAGTAGTTGAGCACGTTTATAAACGGCGCTAATTGGTCATTGTGTTCAACAGAAATGACTGTGATTGGCCATAAAGGTCATCAGTTCACCGAACTCACCACTGTTTACTGAGTGTAATACAGGTACAGGGACACTGGAGCGTTTTAAAGTCACATCGAACAGCTGGTTTCTCGATAAGATGACATATGCGCAATCCGAGTGTTGGTTTTAAAACGCTCCAGTGTCCCTTTACCTGTGTATCAGTCTTTAAATATTAATGAAGCTTCAATGACACTGCGAATAAGAAATTAGAATGACAAATACAGTTTGTTCTACTGAAGAAGTGATCAGAAACAAAATATGCATGACACAATTATGACAATCATGTTTATGACAGGTTTATGACAAGCTTTATTCACTTGGTGACGTCAAGTTGTCATTCATTCATTCATTCGTTTTCTTTTTGGCTTAGTCCCTTTGTCGCCACAGTGGAATGAACCGCCGACTTGTCCAGCATATGTTTTGCGCAGCTGATGCCTTTCCAGCCACAACCCATCACTGGGAAACACCCATTCACGCACATACACTACAGCTAAATTATCTTGTTCAATTCCCCTACAGTGTTTTTGGACTGTGGGGGAAACCGGCGCACCCGGAGGAAACCCACGCCAACACAGGGACATGGACCTCGATCTGCCTGTTAGACAGCACTGATCTAGGCTGTCTTTGCAACATCAAGCATTTGTTATTTTTTTGTGACTGAATTTACATCAAGTGCCTGTGAAAATCATGTAAGATAATCATATGATTCCAATAATGATCATAAATATTTGTATATATTAATCGAGCAGCACTAGAAGGATGTGTGCTTCCACTTCCATATTAGGTTCTGCAATGTAAAATCAATGTTTTCTGTCATCACAAACAGATTTCTGGTTCAACACTTTTGGCCTAACATTCTAAAACCGCTACGTTATTAACTACACATCACGTCTGAAACATTTGACTTTCCATTTAAGGTTGTAAAGAAAGCGCTATTTTTATAGCACGCAAAAAAGGCAAGTTAGAAATCCTTCAACATAGTATTCTTGACATGCTCGAGTCCCGCGAGGATGAATAAACGCTGGCTGAACTCTTCCTCCTAAACTCAATCCTGTAAGAATGTTGTGCTCGTTCTCCAGAGCTGATTTCACTCCTCCATCATTTGTTGCTTCGAGAGAAAAGCTCAACTACCAGTTCTCTCCCTCAAATTGCAGACTGGATGGATGGATGTGCATTGTCGTGGGCTGTAAATGAGCAGTGTGCGATGTTGGCATGGGACGATAACTGGTTTCAAGGTTTACCGCAGTCTGGAAGAGTTTTAAACCCGCTAACATTTTCTGTCACACTGTACCTACAGTATGTGCACGTTTCTTTGGTGTTGCGTGTTTTTTATGACTCAATTATTTAGTTTTTTTTCATCCAAATGAAAAGCTACAATATCGCAAACATGAACTACATAAATCTTTAAAAAGCTCATGCCTAGTGTTTGACCAAGGAGAGAAACAAAGTGAAGACAACTAACCTACACTCACTGGCCACTTTATTAGGTACAGGAAAATTCATTCAATTACTTGTCGGCTTAGTCCCTTTATTATTCCGGGGACTCCACAGCGGAATGAACCGCCAACTTATCCAGCAAGTTTTTACGCAGCGAATGCCCTTCCAGTCGCAACCCATCTCTGGGAACACACACATTCACACACACACTCATACACTACGGACAATTTAGCCAACTCAATTCACCTGTACTGCATGTCATTGGACTGTAGGGGAAACCGGAGCACCCGGAGGAAACCCACGCGAACACAGGGAGAACATGCTAACTCCACACAGAAACGCCAACTGAGCCGAGGCTCGAGCCTAGCGACCTTCTTGCTGTGAGGCGACAGCACTACCTACTGCGCCACTGCTTCGCCCGTACAGGAAAATGCCAAGTCAAAAAACCAAGGCTTTTCCAGGTTTCCCATAGGCGTATGAACCCTGCGTACCTGCAGTGATGTCCCGCTGTCGGCTCCTGAGCTCCTGAACAGTGGAGCTGTAGTTTGTTGCTAACTCTGTCACGCTGGACCTCAGAGAATCAGCGGATTCAGGGTTCAGACGCTCCGACTGAGTACGAAGATCCTCCATTTGCGGCTGGAGCTTTTCCAGCTCCGTAATACGAGCCTGAAACACAAACACACATCACATCTGCTCAGTTTATACCCATAAACACGTATATGTACAGAGTGTCTTTTATATGTGTGCTACACACTAGGGTTGGGGATCATATGAATTGAATCAATTCCTCTTTCATTTATTGTTTTTCCTTCTTATTGATTAGGGTTAGAGTTCAGTTCTAGTTTCAATACCAATGTAGTAAAAACAGGCAAACATTTAGGCCCTGTTCACACTATTATTAAGATGCATTCTTTTAACCCTTGAGTGCTGTCGGGTCGTTTTCATCCACTCTGAGGTGATTTTGAGTCTTAATTTGGCCACAGCTTTCTCTGTGTTTCAGCAAATGTGATGATTTTTGATGTCAAATCTTATTTTGACACTTATTTTGGGAAAATGCTTTGAATATTTTGTGCAAATGTTGCACTCTGAGCAAGTTGACTATCTTTTCATTGTGTTGGGGGCTGTTTTTGCCCCATTGACTTCCATTATAATCACATTTTTTGATTGCAACAGCATATAATTGTTGCTTTGTTTCTATGTTAGAAAGAGAAATTTGTACTTTTATACTGTTGATCATCAGTTTGCAGCATTAACCCTTTAGTGTTATAGGTGAATTTAAGTGTGGGTTAAGGTGTGTAAATGCAATGAATCACTTTTTCCACATTTGTTTATGTTCAGCCTTTTTCCAAAATGGATTAAATTGATTGATTTCCTCAACATTCTACACTCAATCCCCCATTATGACAATGTAAAAAAAGTTTTTGAAATTATTGCAAATTTATTAAAATTAAAAAAGCTGTAAAATATGTGTACATCAGTATTCACAGCCTTTGGCGTGACGCTCTAAACTGAGCTCAGGTTCATTCTGTTTCCACTGATCATTCTTGAGATGTTTCAGCAGCTTCATTGGAGTTCACCTCTGCTCAATTCAGCTGATGGACATGATCTGAAAATGCTACACCTGTCTATTTAAGCTCCCAGGGTTGACAGTGCATGTCAAAGCACAAACCAAGCATGAAGACAAAGGAATTGTCTGTAGATATCCGAGACAGGATTGTCTTGAGGCACAAGGCTGGAGAAGGTGACAGAAAAACTTCTGCTGCTCTGAAAGTTCCAATGAGCACAGCGGCCTCCATCATCCGTAAATGGAAGATGTTTAACCACCAGAACTCTTCCTAGTGCTGGCCGGCCATCTAAGCTGAGTCATCAGGGGAGAAAGGTGATCAATAACCCGACCGTCACTCTGTCTGAGCTTCAGCGCTCTTCAGTGGAGAGAGGAGAACCTTACAGAAGGACAACCATCTGTGCAGCAACCCACCAATCAGGCCTGTATGGTAGAGCGGCCAGACGGAAGACACTCCCCGCCTGGAGTTTGCCATCTGAAGGACTCTCAGACCATCAGAAACTAAACTCTCTGCTCTGATGAGACTCAAACTGAACTCTTTGGAGAATTTTTGTGAATGCCAGGTGTTACGTTTGGAGAAAAGTAGGCAGCGCTCATCACCAGGCTAACAGCATCCCTACAGTGAATCATGGTGGTGTTGGCATCATGCTGTGGGGATGTGTTTCAGTTGCAGGAACTGGAAGACAGGATAGAGGTATGCAGCAATGTACAGAGACATCCTGAATGTAAACCTGCTACAGAGTGCTCTTGACCTCAGACTGGGGCGACGCTTCATCTTCCAGCAGGACAATGACCCAAAGCACACCGCCAAAACATCAATGGAGTGACTTCACAACAACTTTGTGAATGTTCTTGAGTGGCCCAGCCAGAGCCCAGACCTAAATCCTATTGAACATCTCTGGAGAGATCTGCAAATGGCTGTACACCGTCGCTCCCCATCCAATGGGCACAAATTCCCAAAGACAGGTGTGCCAAGCTTGCGGCATCATGTTCAAGAAGACTTGAGGCTGTAATCGCTGACAAAGGTGCATCAAAAAAGTATTGAGCAAAGGCTGTGAATACTGATGTACATCTGATGTGTTTACATCTTTTTTATTTGTAATCAATTTTCAACAATTTCAATTGTGTGTAGAATGTTGAGGAAATCAATCAATTTCATCCATTTTGGAATAAGGCTGTAACATAAAGAAATGTAGGAAATGTGAAGCGCTATCAATACTTTCCGGATGCTCTATAACTACATACAGGTATGTAATCAAACCTAAGTACAATGTAAAAACATGTCATTACACAATAAGTACATTGTAACGAACTATTAATTTAAACGCGAGTACATGTTAGTTAAAGCCACCTAAGATGTAGTAGGACCCTGGCTTGATAACTGACTGACCTCACAGTCGTCTTTGAGCGTCTGGAGCTCCTGCAGGTTTTCCTTCTCTCTAAACTCGTTTGTGTTGTTCATCCAGTTCTTCTGTTCCTGCAGGGCTTCATCTACAGCCTTCAGTCCAGACTCCACCTCCGCCAGCCGCTCAAGAAGCCCAGCCCGGCTCCTCAGCTCCTGGATCAGCGTCTGACAGCTCTCCCACTCTTTACAAACAGACTCCAGGCCAGACCGAGCCTCCTCCGAAGACAGACCTTCTGCAAAAACACAGATCGAGGGAATTACGCTGGCAGGAGAACACAGAAAGCACCATTTATCTTGAGGAGATCGCCATGACTCCTTACCTTTCTCCAGCTGTTCAATCATCTTCTCTGCTTTCTGCGTCAGCTCCTTCACCGAGCCCTCGCTCTCAGCAAGATCCACTTCCAGGACCTGCAGAGATGGATACAAACACTCAGCAGAGAGCGATATATGAACCGATCAGTGTGGGTGATCATAATAAGTCACCTGCAGTGATTCCTTCAAGGAAGAAGAGTCTCCAGCAGTTTGGGCAGATGATCTCCATGCAGCCAGACCGGACAAAAGCTTGGGGACATCGGTTTCAGCTCTAAAAAACACAAACGTCCTGTCAGAGTTCACATGAGTGATTCAGTGTTACATCCAAGCAGATCAACACAGCAGTGTGTGTGTGTGTGTGTGTGTATATAAATACTTTACAGCTTATGCTAGCAGTTTCCATACTAAAATCAGCATTTGTTTCTTGTAAAAGTATTCAGCACCCCTTTGTGGAACCCCCTTTTGCAGCAATTATTAGCTCGGGTGTGTCTCTACCAGCTTTGCACATCTAGAGACTGAAGACTTGGCCCACTCTTCCTTGCAAAACAATTCAAGCGGAGTCAGATTTCCAGGCTGTTTTCCAGCCATTTCCAGCCTGGTCTTAGCTGGTCAGGCTGGAAAATGACCAGCCAAATCCAACTAAAACCAGCTTGACCAGCCTGGTTTAAGTTGGATAAAGATGGTTTTGGCTGGACTCCCAGCTTGGCTAGGCTGGTCAAGCTGGTTTTAGCTGGTCATCTTCCAGCCTGACCAGCTAAGACCAGGCTGGAAATGGCTGGAAACCAGCCTGGAAATGGCCAAAACCCCTCTAAAACCAGCCTGGTTGACCAGCTAAAACCAGCCAACCAGCCTAGGCTGGTTTAAGCTGGATTTTTCAGCAGGGATTAGATCAGGGGTGCTCAACCCTGTTCCTGGAGATCGACCTTCCTAAAGAGTTCAGCTCAAACCCATATCAAACACACCTGAATCAATTAATTAGGACCTGAACAGCACTTGATAATTACAGGCAGGTGTGTTTGATATGGGTTGCAACTGAAATCTGCAGGAAGGTTGATCTCCAGGAACAGGGTTGGTCACCCCTGCATTAGATCATAGGTCTCAAACTCAATTCCTGGAGGGCCGCAGCTCTGCAGTTTTGCTCCAATCCTAATCAAACACAGCTGATCCGACTAATGAAGATGTTCAAGACTACTAGAGACTGTTAAGCAGGTGTGAATTGGAGGACCAGCTCGCTCTCTGCAACTCTCACATGGTCGCCCACTGAAGCTAAGCAGGGCTGCGCCTGGTCAGTACCTGGATGGGAGACCACATGGTAAAGCTGGGTTGCTGCCAGAAGTGGTGTTAGTGAGACCAGCAGGGGGCGCCCAACCTGCGGTCTGTGTGGGTCCTAATGCCCCAGTATAGTGACAGGGACTCTATACTGCTCAATGAGACATTAAACCGAGGTCCTGACTCTCTGTGGTCGTTAAAAGTCCTATTATGTCCCATGATGGTTTAACCCTGGCATCCTGGCCAAATTTGCCCTCCTAACCATCCCCATATCATAATTGGCTTCATCACTCTGGCGCAAAATGGCTGACGTCAATTCATCCAGGTGAATGCTGCACACTGATAGTGGATGAGGAGATTCTATGCAGAGTTGTGGCCCTCCAGGAGTTGAGTTTGAAACCACTGGTTCAGATGGAGAGCGTTTGTGTACAGCAGTTTTCAGATCTTGCCACAGAATCTCGATTGGATTTAGGTCAGTACTATGACTGGGCCACTCCAACACATGAATATGTTTAACTTTAAACCATGTAGCCTTGGTTTTACGTTTAGGGTCATTGTCCTGTTGGAAGATGAATCTCCACCCCAGTCTCAAGTGTTTTGCAGACCCCAACAGGTATTCTTCCGGGATTGCCCTGTATTTGGCACCATCCATCTTTCCATCAACTCTGACCAGCTTCCCTGTTTCTGCTGAAGAGAAGCAGCCCCAGAGCATGATGCTGCCACCAGCTTGAGTTCAGAGTGTTAGGTTTCCGCCTTTAGGCTGAAAAGGTCTCATCTGACCAGAGCTCCTTCTTCCACACATTTGCTGGGTTACATATTGGGATAGCAGCTGATTGGCCTACAAGGTGAGGGCATAGTTCCTCCACTCTATACTGAGGAAAACTAAACTGTTAAACTCTTGAGAATGTTAAAGATTTTGAAAAAATGTTTCAAAAACTCCTGGAGGAACTCTTAAGAAATGACTTATTATTGTGTATGTGTAAAGTGGTCATACAGCCTCCTGAGCTCTCAGTGTGTTTCCACATGTCTTCTTTTGGGTGGAGCGGGTGAAAACTCTTAAAACCCATAAAACTGGACACTGACAGGAGTGGTCTTAATGTGGAATGTGAGGGAGTAGGATTGTGTGCGCCCACTATGCTAATGATGTACTGAGTCAATGGTAATCGAATCTGCAAGGCATAAAAGCACATCATTTAATCTTAAACCTTACCAGAATTCAGTCTGAACTCTTAGAATAGAAACTTAAATGCATTCTGTTACGATTATAAGCACAACATAATGGGGCCCAACACAGAGCCCTGAGGCACACATATCGTAAAAGAAATGGAAAACCCCTGGAGGAACGCTTAAGAAATGTCTTATATTTGTGTCTGCGTATGTTGGCCGTACAGTCTCCTGAGCTCTCCGTCTGTGTCCAGATGTCTTCTTTTGGGTGGAGCGGGTGGTGGCAGCTCTCGGTCGCTGCTGCTGTAGGTTTGCTCCATCCGTGTTGTTACAGTTGTGACTGTTAATGTCTCCATCAAGACTTTCTCCTGTACTTGAGGCATCCCCGTCACAGACACTGCTTCAGTCACCTGAACACACAACACATGCTTGGCTTCAATGGCATAGGAAAAGCTAACGTGCCACAATGCTAACACTGAGTACTCCGATTTTAATATGATTAGGTCAATATTGAGATTAGATCACAGATGAGCACTGTAATCATATCATTGTCTTATTCAGATTAAGGCAAATAGTTAGACTACTGATGTCCATGTTAGCGTCGTCAATGAGACGCTCATCTGACCTGGCTGGAGCAGTCCTCTAGTTTCTGGACCAGGTTGTCCCAGCGCTGGGTCAAAAGTTCTGTGTCGGATTCGATCCTTTGAGCTGCGGCTGGACTGTTCAACAGCACCATCACATCTTGACCAGCGTCTGACAGAGCGCTCAAAGTCCTGCGCTTCTGGGCCATATCCTCCTTAAGACTCTGAATTGGGTCAAATAATGATACAGAATCAAGCTGAATCATATTCATAAGATTATGACCTTAAAACTAATGCTTTTACAATGTTCCCATATCAAAATCGTGGGTGCATACGTAAAACTATTAAATATATGAAAGAATGTAAGTTTGTATACTCACAGCCAATCTGCGGACGCTGGCATTAATGTCACTGGGGTCTTTAAAATCACAGGTCTGCACTTCACCCAAGGCCTTCTCCTTTTCGGTTAGCCATGACCCAAATAAACTCTGAATGGATGAGAATCAATAATAAGGCATTTACCTTCTGGTCAATCTAGTAATTTGACAGTAAAATAATTGATTATCCAAAATGAGAACTCAGCATCACACACATTGCTCCAAATGAAAAGGAAACAATATCTGCTCATCCCTATTCATTATTTTTTTCTTTTGTATACGAGCATTAAAAAACAATAATGTATAGTAATATCTGGCAAAATATATTTCTCATTTAGATCACAGTTGAGTTTTTGCTTAAACTGGAAACTGATGGGAGTGGTCTTAATGTGAAATGTGAAAGAGTAGGATTGTGTGCGCCCACTACACTAATGATGGGTCAATGGTGATGGTATCTGCAAGGTATAAAAGCACATTAATTCAATCTGAATCTTTACCAGAATTCAGTCTGAACTGTTAAAATAGAAACCTGAAACTTCTGTTCAGATTATAAGTCTAAGATAGGAGGACAACACAATGGGGCCCAACACAGAGCCCTGAGGCACACCTCTGATTTTTTTTTATTCTTGTTGTGCAAACAAATATATTTAGGTCATCAAACTGTATAGTAATTTTTGATAATGAACAACAAACTGCACACTAAATGTGCCTCATTAGACATTTTGTAAATTATGACAGTGAATTTTGCAATCTTTGTTATAAGGTCCACCTAGCCTTCAAGCTTGATCAAGTTTGTTGTAAAATGCTTTTAAAGGTTTTACTGAATATATATACATTCTGAGAATATGATCTTTTATTTATATCTCCACCGACATCTGGTCTGTGATACACTGGTAGCACCCCAAAACTGTGAAGTGCTATAAGTGGCCAGTAAAGGACTAAATAAATGTAATTGATTATTATTATATTAATTATTTAAACACAATGTGGCCTGACACAGAGCCTTGAGGCACTTGATTTTTTTGCAAACACACAGATTTGATTGTCCACACTTCACAGCAATTACTGAACAACAAATATTGAATATTTAGCAAATATTTGTTGGGTATTGAGCTGACATATAGCGCCATTACGTTTTGGATGCCCTGAGTTTGGAAACTTCTGTTTCACACCCACTGTCTCTACCTAATGAAAAACAAAAATGACTATTTTTTATTATTATTTATTATTACAACACAATAATGCCAAACACAGAGCCTTGAGGTACACTTGTTTTTTATATATTTTTTGTAATCAGACATATTTAACTACCCAAAGGCCTCTAGATGAGGCTTATTTGACCACAATAAAATATAATCATGCCATGATTTATAATGGTTTCATTAGGACAGTAAGGTCTGACTCCAGTATAGAATATAAAGTCATGCTGCAGTGGAAACAGAATGAATGTCACACCTGGTCATCAAGCAGCCTCTGCCACACCAGCTGAGTTTCATCCAGTTTGTTCCAGCGCTCCTCCGTCCAGCGACACACTGCCGCCCAGCGCTCACCCAGTGACTGTCAAGAACACAAGAGGAAAACGTATTCACTGAATGACTTTTCACACACTTTTAAGGCCTCTGCGAGTGTCAAATATCAGTCTAGTTCCAAGTTTCTATCTGCGTTTCATCCAATGAATTCTTAACACAGTGTCCAACATTAACAGATCTCCTCCTTCTTCAAGCAGCAAACAGATGAAAACAGCTTGCTTTGATTAGCCTGACCTTTCAGTGAGAACAGATTTTTAAAGCTTAAATAAAAATTATGGAAACCTGAAACTTAAATGCATTCTGTTAACATTATACGTCTAAGATAGGAGCACAACACAATGGGGCCCAGCACAGAGCCCTGAGGCACACCTCAGGATTTTATTTTATTTTTTTATAATATATATATATTTAAGTCCACCAAACTTTTGCATTCACATAGATCTCTGTAAATAGTCAAGCAACACTGTAGGTACATCCAAACCTCACTGCCATTGTCAGTTCTATTTTAAAGAAACAATCAACCTTTTTGTACTGTATATAGCACAACCTAAAGTGCTTTACACCAGTAAAAACAAATCATACAACAAAACTAGAAACAGAACGATGCTAAAAGCAATACAATAAATGTCAATGAAATACAGCAAAACATTAAAACAGTGAAAAGTGTCAGGAAAGAAGTATTGAACATGTCACCATTTTTTTCAGAAAAACATATTTCTAAAGGAGCTGCTGAATTTCAGAAAAAGAAAATCAAGCTGTAGAACTGTAGAATGAGGGTCCTATCTATCAAATCTGAGCTTTATTCTGTATTCTCTATTGGATTTGGGTCAGGTGATTGGCTGGGCCATTCTACAACTTGATTTTGTTTCTCTAAAAGCATCTGAGAGTCTCCTCGGCTGTGTTTTGGACCATTGTCTTGCTGAAATGCAGCTGATATTCAATTACACTGAGGAAGGGCAGAGAGTTGCTGAAGAACTGCTGAGAGGTTTCAGCTGCTGTTTGAACTTTCATTGCTGAACTACACCTCCCTTTCTTCATGTGTTCAATACTTTTTCCTTGCGTCATTTTATTTTATTACTCATAACTATATTTGTAAACTAATCAGATTTGTTTTCTTTGCATAGATGGATTTCTCTGGTTGTTACAAACATCAAGGGGAAATTTCAAGTCAACAGCAAATTTAGAAGTATGTTTTCTGAGAAAAATGGTGATGTATTCAATACTTATTCCCCTGTTGTATCTATGAGATTCTCTTTCATTCGATTACAATAAGCACTAGAGCTGACACTCAATACTTTATATCATTTCTGACCAGAATCTAGGAATTGTGGTATTATAATTACAGTAAGTCAAAGATAAATAATCATTGTATATGCTTTGTGTTGTACCTGCAGTTGCTCCTCCAGGGCAGCAGTGGCGCTCTCACCGCTGTTCTCATCCACAACCACAACCATGTGTGTGAGAGAGTTCACCTTCACCTGCTCCGCCTCCAGGTCATTCTGCAATGCCTGGGGACCGAATAATGAAGAAAAAAGGTCAGGGACCAAAGCACAGCAAGCAAGCTTTCCCCCATTTACTCTATACAAATCGATCCCAAATCGATGTGTGGTCTGGATGGCGAGGCAGTGGCGCAGTAGGTAGTGCTGTCGCCTCACAGCAAGAAGGTTGCTGGTTCGAACCTCGGCTCAGTTGGCGTTTCTGTGTGGAGTTTGCATGTTCTCCCTGCGTTCGCGTGGGTTTCCTCCGGGTGCTCCGGTTTCCCCCCACAGTCCAAAGACATGCGGTACAGGTGAATTGGGTAGGCTAAATTGTCCGTAGTGTATGAGTGTGTGTGAATGTGTGTGTGGATGTTTCCCAGAGATGGGTTGCAGCTGGAAGGGCATCCGCTGCGTGAAAACTTGCTGGATAAGTTGGCGGTACATTCCGCTGTGGCGACCCTGGATAAATAAATAAAGGGACTAAGCCGACAAGAAAATGATAGTGTGGTCTGGTACCAATTGATCCACTGAGCAGTACCAGTCTGCAGCCCAGACTGCATTAGCACACTGAAAAAAGTCCCTTTTTAAAATCCAAGATTTGATTTCTCATAAATTATTTTAATTTCGATACAAAATTATTATTCATATCATGTATTCATCACAGAAAGATGACAGGGGATGTGGTGCTGTTTCCCTTAGACAGTGGGGTTCCTGAATGTGTGTGTGTGTGTGTGTGTGTGTGTGTGTGTGTGTGTGTGTGTGCGTGTGTGTGTGTGTGTGTGTGTGTTCTTTATTCACTAGCTGAACAAACAGGCCGATCTCGTGTTTGCCTGTGGTTCACCGAGGCGTGTGCTGATCCGCTTATTCATTCTTCTAACAGCTCAATCTGCCTTACAAACCTTTATTACCCAGAAGCGGCTGTTTCAGAAAGAGTTTATATCTTCATTGTGTTGCATTTAATAATCTACAATCTATATTTGTTTAACAGTTTAATATAATTTACATCACTTTGACAGCACAAACAACCAATCAAATCACTGCGCTAATCATTCATTCATTCATTCATTTTCTTGTCGACTTAGTCCCTTTATTAATCCCGGGTCGCCACAGCGGAATGAACCGCCAACTTATCCAGCAAGTTTTTACGCAGCGGATGCCCTTCCAGCCGCAACCCATCTCTGGGAAACATCCACACACACATTCACTCATACACTACGGCCAATTTAGCCTACCCAATTCACCTGTACC